AAATCAGATTACATAGATAAACAATATATATGAAACAGAAAACATAACACAAAAAAAATAAAAATATAAGAAAACTGAAATATAACATTAAACAAACAACAATTAACACTTAATATTTCAAAGAAAAACCCATATACTGCTTAACAAAGTCAGTCATCCCGTCTCTTCAAATATTTCCTCACATCTATTTATATATATATTATATTATATTTAGTGAGGTGGAAAATATCAACATCCTCATAATTCATAGTGTACTACAATATATGGTTATATTTTGACTCGCAGTAATTTGATATAATCCCCATATCTTTATATGCGCTTAAAGGTAAACCGAAAATACCCCTAAACGTTTCAAATGACTACAAACCTCAAATTAGTTTGAAAAAACAAAATGACAATCGTCTTCGAATAAACGAAATCGATTTGAATGATTTCCGTCCAAACGCTCGAATTAACGACAGTTCGGTGATATACTTTATACAGGATGCTTTAAACTTTTGACTGACTGAACTGAACATAAAAAGCATGACATAGATAAAGAACATTGAAGAAACCTTTATATGTTATAGAATCAGTATCGTCTCGGACTTTGTCTTCAACCATTAAATTAAACATAGAAAAAGGTACGAAGTGTTGTACGGAAGCTTACAACTTGCAGCACGCTTGCGGTGCCTACATAAGACAGCAGAATACGTAATAATAATATACTGTTTGGTTTGGCAAAAAATAAAAAAAACGTAATATTATAATAAAACTATTTTCTACTAAAAAAAATAAGTAATAATTGTTTAATACTGGCTGGCTCGCTATATTTCGGTACTTATTGCGCGAGGAAAGCACCACCTTTTCACCTAAACCAGCTTTAATATATAATGAGCGCCTGTGCACTGAAACCCTACGCCCCAAAAGGAACATAATCAAAGTTGCAGATATACTTTTTTGATATAAGTGAACCCCCTGTATAGTTCTTAGTAATCCAACATTAATGATCTGCGGTGTAAGGATAATAGTTATACGTGACTTCTGTGCCGTTATTAGGAACTTTTTTGTTACTAATGGGTTACATTCGGGACTATTTCAATTGCGGTTTTGACTTTATGAAAATAACTTTAATGGAGACAATTTTAATATTATTTACTGACTTGAAACGTTAACGTTATTATCGAGGATCATTTCTGGAACTTTAATTAAGGTATAGGTTAGAGAGAGAGAGAGTATCTCTCTTTGAGATTAAGAGACTTAACTCCTGAAATCGTACGTTTGAGACCCGGTTGTCCATTGAACTTGTTTCTATGACATAGCATCGTGAAGTGCTGGTACTGGTTCCAGCAAGTGTACCTATATGTTTACAATTGTTTTAGATTACTATTAAGGAATGTAATCTAGGAACAGATTTAAAGCAAAGACAAGTACAAATTTGTATCGCCACCAATTAATTAATTTTGTTTTAATATTCTTTTTATTAATTTTTAATTATTTTTATTATTACTATGTAGGTTAAGAAAATTGTTAATACTGTGTATTTGATTGTTATGATTACTAATAAAGTTATATTTAATAGTCGATCAATTTAATCCTAAATCAGAAGTCAGCTGCTTGACGATTTTGTGAAAAGTTAAAACAAAGGTTTGTTCCTTGTGGTGCTACAATCATAGGCCTTAGATATCTATATCTGTTTTACGATCGTTTGTTTTATTAAAAAAGTAAGTTGATGATCAGCCTTATGTGTCTGACATATCGTTGACTTTTTGGGTCTTAGGCATGCCGTTCGGCGGGGAAAACAGTGAGGAGCGAGTGTTAAATGCGCACATAGAAAGTCCGTTGCTGCACAGCCGGGGTACGAACCTAAGACTGGCAAGAGACACTAGGCTAACACGGCTCGAAATCAAAGGAAGTAAAATTTATTTTGTTCTTTAAAATACAGAAAACTTATGTCACAAGCTTGTAGCGGAACGACGGCATATTTTTTTTTATAGAACATGGGGCAAACCTTTCACCTGATTTTAAGTGAGCCGCCGATGGAGTTCACGAGTACGCTGCCGGCCTTTTAAAATTAGTACGCTCTTTTATTGATAATTTTATTAACCTAAAGATTTATCACTCAAATCTCTTGTTTTTTTTGTAATTTGATACGTAGCATGTAAGTGTACTACTGTGGTTAGGTGGCAGATGTAGGTTTTACTTGACTTAAGGTCCCATATCCCCCAAGTGGGGCAGACGGCATCCAGGTAGAAGACCAGCCTGATCGGTCCTAGGCCAGATGTAGGTTTTGCATTTAAATGTGTATATTTTTGCTGTTCAAAAAGAAAGAAATCTGCGTTAATCTGACATTCCGATGTTGCACGTAGTAAATTCCTACTAATTTGGACGGAACAGCCAATATTTGACAGCCATTATATAGACAGGTTAACCGAAGCGTTAAACGGTATATTTCAAGGGTGCTTTAGATGAGATGAATGAGGGCACAGGAGGCTGCACACATATCACATACTTGCATTTAAAGAAATCGCAAGGAATAAGACGCAAGAATGTATCCACACGGGGCTCATATACCATTTGCATTTGTTTTTGTACATTTGAAGGTATAGGTTTCAGATTTCTGTATCTGTTTCGTGATCATTTCTTATTTCCTAATTAGGCAATAAACCGTTGACAATTTTGAGTTGTTTTGAAGGGCCTATACCTAGACATTAAACACATTGGTGCACAGCCACGGTGAAAAAATAAAAGTCAGAAGCAGTACAACCCTTGGTCTTGCTACAGATTTCTGTATATGTTCCATTATCGTTTAATTTTTCTAATAGGTAAGATTGATCAGCCTTCTGAGCCTGACACACCGTCGACAATTATAAGCCTAATTCATGTTTCCTCACGTTTTTTCCCTCTACTATACGAATAAGTTAATTGCGACACTGTTCACAGCCGGTTTTCAAACTTACTTCAGGTATAAGACTCCTAATAATAATTCTGCCATAGTCAATCATTCGTGTAAGGTACTTTACAGTTTGACACAACGCGGGAATATATCCAATTTTAGAATTGGATTTACTCGCGCGTTACATCTAAACTCTATGCAAAAAAACAGGCGCATAAAGAAATTCACCTAGTAAGATCGTTTCAGTAATTTAAATGAAATTTAATTGTCTGATGTACTTATAATCGTGTAAATTAATACACTTGAAATTAATTTTTGCTGAATTCTCTAAAACCGATGTTCAATAAGACACATTAAATTTCACAAACACGGCCAAACAATAAGAAGTCAGTGGGCCATAGAGACAAGAATACTTTTATACTTTTTTAAATAAATAAAGTTACAAATGTAAAAATCAAATAACGAGTGTAACCTATTGGCAAATTGAATCCTTCTGGGCAAAGTGGGAAAGCATTTCCACTTTGTTTTTAATAACGTTGTGAGGAATACGTTCCCACTCTTCTGCAATTACACTTTTTACGTCCCGAATGCTTTGTGGAGCAGGTTGCAGGTGCTTACTCGTCTCTTTAGAACTTCCAGTACATGCTCAATTGGGTTGGACTTTGAACTTCTTGTCTTACGCTTCCACGGCGCCAGAACGGTGCAGGCAATTATTGTCGTCCATAAAATGGAATCTTCCTTAAGTATAATATTATTAAGCTTGGTGATGGGCAGGAGGAGGCTTTTGGCTGCCAATATCAGGAGTTACCACCCGGCCTGGGTCCTAAGAGTTTATATTGGTTCCCATATCGTTGGAAGTATTTTATAATAAAAGAAATAAATATCTTTAGTAATTTAATTTAACATAAGTGCTCAAAATATACACAGGCAGGCATTTCTACAATCTTCGTGTCTATGTAATAGCTAGTTCTAACTAAAAGAACACATTTTAAAACTATTTACATTTTTTTAAATATTTATACTGTCTGAAGGGTGACGAAGGGGTTTTTGTTATATCTGTGGAATGTTGAAACGGTTTTTTTAAGTTTATGTTTGATGCCATAATAGAAGGTAATGTTTCAGAGGTGATAGCGTGAGGAGGATATTGAGGTTTAGTTTCACGTGGTATTAAAGTTATATTTACTGAAACGTAAGCAAAATACAGTGTTTGGAATATTTTATGTAAGAAGTAAGTAAAGATCAATTAAGACATTTATTTATTCATTGACAGCCCAAACATGGCCATATTTAAAAATAAATATTATAGAACTATTATATAATTAAGCTTTTACAAAATCCGCAGAAAACCTTTTGCTATCAATTAATCCTCTCTATGACATGAAGGGGTACCGCTTAATAAGGTATCTAGCAGTTGTATTGAGACCCTTCGATATTAGAGTTTGTATCGAGAAATCTTTTTCCTTCTAACAGTTTTATTTGAATTATATTGTATTGATTACATATTTTGCCAACTGAGTTTTCGAAAAAATCTAAGCAGGTTTTCGGAATCTCAATTAATTCATGTAAAACGAATTTAAATACGATAAAATTGTACTTTATAATCTATATTACACTAATATTATGTTATTTACAATTTAAATATCAAACTTTCATTGATTATGTAGGATTGTATTATCTAATAACTATAATAATACTGTTTTCGTAATATACACATTTAAATAGTATAAAATTTCACTAAATACGGTAGAGCCGTTTCTAAGCACTAGCTTTTAAGAAATATTAAGTACTAAGGCTATTTACACATTTTTACAAGAATGCGATACATATTATTAAAATGATTAAAAATGATATCACTTAACGCAGATCTTATATTAAAATAATATTACATATAGGTACATATTAAAATCATTATTACAGTAATTGAGTTATCTGTATGCTACAATTTATGTCTTAGCCAGATAGTACCAAATTGGTTTGAACATTTCATAATGTAGCAAATATTTCATCACTAGCTATTGCCTACATTGACACTAAACGTAGACTCGGCCATTTTATGGAACTGTATCATGGAATAAAACCTCTTTTCATAGAATGAAAAAGAAAACTTTTTGAATTTAGAACGAATTCAGCAAATCGGTGACGCGACAGGCGGTGGATGCGCTGTTGGCGCTGTATTAGGAGGGTTTATAAAAGAGCCATGGTTCCCAGCCCATGGCTGTAAATTCTGTAATGCGCTTAACGCTGTATTGGACGCGGGAGGTGCGGCGTTCTGTTGATAATGAAGCGCTGACAGCGATGCGCCGGGTGGTGGTTCAGGGATGTAACCCTTGCTTAGCGCTTCAGCTTGAAGTGAAAGCATTAAGCGGTTAGCTGCTTGACGTTCCGCTTCACGCTCTTCAGCTGTTTGGCGTCTGAAACAAAAGAAATACAATTAAACAAATTGAAGCTTGCTAACATTCTTTAAATAAACATCGACTAACGCATTAAAACTGATTTCTTGTGCATAAAGAAGGTATAGGAACTAGGAACATATTTTTATATAGGATACTAAGCTATATAAATAAAGCAACAATTTTAATTCAAAATTATAAACATGTGTATTTTGAAGCCATCAGATAAATTTTCATACATTACTAAGAGATGTTCAATGAACAAAGGATGAAAATCTTAAAGCCGCTTTTAGCGTTAAATGGAGTAACGTTCATTAACTGAAAGTGGTGTCAAGTGCATCTGTAAAGTTGGAGACCCCACTTAACATAATACAGAAGCCTGAATTATTTATAAACCCGTTGGATTTGTCGCTCGATTAGCGCGGAGAACATCGACATTTTACTTAGAAAATTCAAATTATACTTTTTATATGCGTTTTATTAGCGGCTAGCATCTGTGTTTATAAGATCTTGAGGAGTGCAAACTATTTAATAAGGTCAATAAAAAAATATAATGTCGAAATTATAATAATTATGTGAAAAAAATAATGTTTTATTCAAAAATTTGCTATAAATTATACATTTACATAATGTTGTGTCAACATCGGATGCACAATAAAATAAGATAATATGCTTTGGAAACCTGATATTTTACTATCCTCACAATAACTTTTATGTATGTAAAGTTTTAGACACATGTCTGTGTGTTACAGCCAGTACTAAACAATGTTTGTTTCACCAAAATCAAACCCTGGATTTCAAGGATGTAAGCAACGTGTTAACCATCAAGCCGTTTCGGTATTCAGAATTGTTGCTGGTATTTTCCAGAAACGACACTGGCAACCCTAGAGCAGTTAATACCCGATGATACTAATTGACATAATTCAAGTCGTAGTCTTGAATTATTAGAACCGAACCCTTTGAGTTGACTTTAATAAATGATTAAGTTTATATTCCTAACCCGCGGTTACCGTTTAATGCGTCTATGGCAAAATGTAGCTAGATATTAAAATTGTGAATATTTAATTGGATAAAGTCAATACTTACCAGAATTAAAAAATAATTGTATAGGTTTCATAGTAATAATGATAGTCTAAAAAAGATTTAAGATCTTGACAAATAGTCAGAAATATTTTCTTCGGAATATAAACGCTAAAATTGTGGCCATTTCAGCTATCGTAGTTCAATAGTTAGCTTATATTTAAACGTATTACTTGCATAAAACAATATTTTAGCAATAATTAATTACTTACACAAGAATTAAGCTATTATGACTGTAAATGGCATGGTTCTTTAATGGATATAGCATTCGTATTCAATTAGCGGACATAGTTCACGCGTCGATAATTAATTATTAACAAATGTCATCGTATTTTACATTAATTTAAATATAAAATCATAGTTCTTATGTACGAATATTCTTTTCGTTTTGAATTTTGTATCTTAGATTATAAATAATTTGATGCATAAAACTAGTAACCTTCAACAACACAACCTCCTGTTTAACTCACAGAAAACGAAGATAAAATATTAGGGAAATAATTAGTTAATTAAAATCTGGTCCAAAATTCCTCTTTTGGCCTCGTTCCTCGTGAACGTCTGTTCAGCTTTAAATCAGAAAATGAACATTTTAGTTTCCATAATCAGTCAAACGCAATCGTAGTTTAGTCCTTTAACCCTCGTATATCCAATGCGTTTGCGCATCTTTTACACCACTAAAGTGACAGTGACAGTTGACAAATTTAAAGGACTGATAGAGTGGGTATACCCACTAAAACTGTGCACTACGAATGCCAACACAATTTAGATCTCAAGTGTGAAGTTATAACCTTTCTCTTCTCTCTTCTGCTTCAGCTAAATTCTTAAGATAGCTGTGAGCTCGTTCTAGATAAAATTATATTGAAAATCATAGTATTAGATAGCTAGTCTTTATCCCGCGCAAGCGCCTACATTAGTAACGATCAAGGCTTATACATAAACTTCTGTATCGCACTAATTAAGATAGCTCCTTACAGAGTGGTCCACATTCATTTGCATAGCGAAACCAGTTAATGCAATAATAGCATTTATCACATAGATATTAGGTTTATTATTCAATGAAGGTAATGTTAGTTATAAATAACGCTTTTAGTATGATATCGCACGTTGTCGAATGACCTAAGTGACTCAATTAGGTTTATCGTAATCATGGAAATCGGATTAATGAAAGTGATTTTTTTAAGCATTTAAGTTAATTGGACTCGATTTTTAAAAAACGTAATCTTTTGAGTGAGAGTAATACTAAATGTCAGCTGTTTTATAGTTTGAATTTGTTTAAAATTATGTATTTTTAATATTATATATATTTTAAAACTATTTACCAATAACCGATTGACATTATTCACTTTTAACGCTATATAATAAGGATTGTTTCTTGTGCGTTGCCCGTATCTAAAATCATAATACAGAAATTAATAGATTTTTTATATTTTTATCTTTATTGATACTAAATAGAATAAGCATTATTAAAAAAAGTGTTTTACAACACATGTTTTTTTTAAATGTTCTTGATAATTCCCCGACTAGGTATGACATACCTACTCGGGGAATTATCATCGTAGAGCAGTGTTGGCCTAGTGGCAGCGTGCGACTCTCATACCTGAGGTCGTAGGTTCGATCCCCGGCTGTGCACCAATGAACATTATTTCTATGTGCGCATTTAACATTTGCTCGAACGGTGAAGGAAAAACATCGTCAGGAAACCGACATGTCTTAGACCCAAAAAGTCGACGGCGTGTGTCAGGCACTGGAGGCTGATCCCCTAGTTGCCTATAAGATTTAAAAATGATCATGAAACAGACTCAGAAATCTGAGGCCAACATTTTGCCAACAACCGTTTTTTTACTTAAGAAATATATCAAAATAGATACCTACAAATAACTCATTGTTTATATAAGTTAAGATGGGCTTAGGGGGTTTTCAATTAGGGGTGGCAATAATTCACAAACTTTAAAGCGAGAGAATTTACGCCAAATTCATTCCCCTGTCAGGTTCAATTAACTAATTAGTAGAGAGTTCTCGTGTACGTACAGTAATCTCTAAGAGTTGACTGATAAGAACAATTGTTAAGCTATAAACATTCTATGAACAAAAATTTAAAGCTAAAAAATCTTTTAATTACGAATATCTTGTATGTGACCGTGACGTGACGTGAACTTTGTCGGCCTTCCGCGATCCTCAGATATAGCTTCGAACCCCAGTTATGCACCGATAGACTTGTCTATATGTTGATGTTGAGTGTTAATCTGTCGTGTGCTTTTAAAACTCGGTCGTACGGTGAAGGAAAACATCGTGAGAAAACCGGCATTAGACCCAAAAAGTGGCGACAAGAGGCTACGGCGTGTCAGCCACAGAAGGCTAGTCCACCTACTTGCCTATTAGAAAAAACAAATGATCACGTAACAAATACAAAAATCTGAAGCCCAGACCTAAAAGGTTGTAGCGCAATTGTTTTTTTTAAATTATGATTAAGGTTATACTTGAATACGTTATGTATGTTTATGTGTTACACAAACACGCATGCATTAAAATTTAATTTGTATTAATAAAAGTTATTTTAAATGGATAGTTATGCAGAAGGCAGCCAATGTTAATTGTTAATGAATGATTGAACAAAGCGCTAAGTCTATTATCGGGGAGAACTTTATTATAACGGCAAATGAACGAACTAGTGTTGTGACAGCGCTATCGATACTTTAACAAACTACATTTTACCCTATTGTATTATGGTAGTTATAAATCCTACAAACTAAGAGATTGATTATAATAAATTAGACTTAATAAAGGCTTGACTTTATTATAATAATTTATTTTAAGTAATATCACTCATATTTATTAGTTAGTGTCTTGATAAAGGTTAGTATAAGTTAATAGTAATAGGTGTAAAAAGGCCTTAAAATTACGTTCACTTAGGTACATTATTAAATGATTCTTTTTTTTTTAATAAAAAAGCAATTCAACGCTACAGGCATAGCTTGTAGTGTATCAACGAATTTATCTATTACCTAAAGATGACGCGTGTTTATGATTTAATGCTTTATTTAAGTTTAGTTTAATTTCATTACTATATATTATAAAATTTTATATTAAGTAGTCAATATTCTTTGTCTGATAGAAACAAAACACGATTTTTGTCATTTATCGATGAAAGTGGTCATCACTAGCCAGTTGGGTAAACCACTTTAAGCCGCCGCCTTTATAATTAGATAACGCAAAGTACAATGAAACTTTCCTTAAATAAGCCAAACGCTGCGGCTGGCAATTACGAATTTCATCCTGATTATTTTACAAGCAGTTTAGAATTAATTATATGGGGATTTTAAGGGGTTTTGTGAATATTCTTATGAATTATGTTTGACACTTTAGATAAATTATTCGAATAAAGACATCTCGTAGTCAAACAGTGTTTTACACGAAAAAAATAAGAATAACAATACCTAAACAGGCATCATTTTTAACATTAATGCAACAGGCATATTATTTTATTGAAAAATATGTCTATTGCGTAAAGATGACGTGTGATTTAAAACTTTATTTAAATATCAATTCAGTCGTCAAAAAAATACAAACATAATTCTTCTTAGCCTCTTAAACTTTTTATTTTTATTCTTATACAGACTAAATTATAACAAAACTCAGACAACTTTGTCAAGCAGCAACGGCTTGGGTTTGGCACAAAATACTAATCATGTACTTGTCTGCAAATGAAAAATTATCTATGAAACAGATGCAACGATCATACATAACAAATTGCGTTGTTCTGTGCCTAACAGACGTCCGTGACAAAATTTCAATTCGTACATGTAAAGATAACTATACGAACCCATTCAGAGTAAAGAAGTTAACAGTGCTAGACTGTGCAGCAATTCTCTCTACACTCTTATTTATTGAAGTTTTAAAAATAAAGGTGAACTTAGTAAGAGCCCATTTTAAAAAAAAAAAAA